AAGGAGCAGGAAATACCATAGTGATAGACTGTGGGTTTGACCTGTCATGATGGTTGGAAGCCTGGGGAATACTCTTCGGAGACCAGACATCCGTGCTCCGTTCTCGCTATGCCATCTAGTGGAGCAGTGTGCTTGCTACCTGTGTGCCGGCAGAGGACTGAATGCGATTTTTTAACTTACATGGTATGTTTATTCTGTAACATGTATGCACAAATACTGGCAACATACATAAGAAGTGGTACTGCTAGTAAGTGGCAGGTAATGTGTTCAAAGAGTCCTTAAAAAAGCTGCTACATACAAGAATAACTAGTAACATCCCCAGGATGAAAATTAACGAGAGAAATCTAACACTGCAGATACGAACATGTATTATAAAATAACAATAAATAAATCTCGTTGGCACTGGCACAGGATCAATAGGACAGGATAGAATTCAGAAATCCACTGAGCAGGTGGCATTTTATGTAAATGAGGACAAGAATAGCTATCCATTGGGTTATAAATAAAGATGGATCCCAGCCTCATTCTTTCCTCCAAAAAGAGAGTCTAGATGATGAAGGGTTGAAAATTCAAGAAATGAAGCTATCAAACTAAAAGAAACTATGGGTATTTAAAAGATAATCTTAATGTGGGAAAATTTTTCTAAATATGTCAATAGGCCCAGAAGCCATTTAGGAAAAGATGTTTTATCCTTAGAGCAAAACAAAAAAGTTGACAGAAAATTATAAAATAATAATGCTTAAAGGTAAATACTGTATTCAATTCTTTAAGTCAAAATAAATTAATATGTTGACATCGTCTAACAGAGTGCTGTGTAAAGAGGAGAGAGAATAAGAGGTAAAAACAATTTGAATTTGTGTTTCTCTGGCTAGCATGTGAGGCTAAGCATCTTTCCATGTGAATGCCATTTGTTTTCCTTCTGTGAAATGGGTGTTTCCTGATGTTGTTCCTGGAAGTTCTTTTTCTCATTATTTTGTTTTGGATATCAATCTTTTATTATGTATATTTAAACTATTTCTGCATATTATTATTATTATTATTTATTTTTTTTAATTTTTTTTCAATGTTTATTTATTTTTGGGACAGAGAGAGACAGAGCATGAACGGGGAAGGGGCAGAGAGAGAGGGAGACACAGAATCGGAAACAGGCTCCAGGCTCTGAGCCATCAGCCCAGAGCCTGATGCAGGGCTCAAACTCACGGACCGCGAGATCGTGACCTGGCTGAAGTCGGACGCTTAACCGACTGTGCCACCCAGGCGCCCCTATTATTCTTTTTTAAAGTGTCCTTTACTCTCTGGAAGTTTTATTATTCTGTATTCAGATCTGTCAGTATTTTCTTTATGACTTCTGGGATTTGTGACTGGACCAGGAAGGCCTTCCTTGCCCAGAATAAAATTATCTTTGGGGGAGTTTTTTTCAAGTGCTTCATATATTTTCATTCAAAATGGCTTTTTAATTCTTCTCTAATTTATATTAGTGGAGAGATCTAAACTCATTTTGTCTAAGTCAGCGGTAGAGGACTCTTTTCTGAGGAAAACTGCTCAGTTTCCTCTTTCTGAGGAAACTGCTCAGTCTCTGAGTGCACAGCAGTCTGGCACTGCCTGCCACCCTCATTCCTCGCTCTTCTTCTTAAACCGGACATTTCATCGAGATGGCTCTAAATTCTAGAGTGCATTTTAATATCTACAAGGAAAATTTTCTTTTCCTGTTCTTTTTCAAAACCTTCTTAGCCTTTCTTATACATTTTCTTTTCCAGAATAATTTTGGACTCAGCTCTAGTTTCATAGCAGTCCTCTTGAAATGTAGGCTGAGAATGCAGTGAACTTAAAAAATATCATTTCCCTAATATTGATGTTTCCTTCTTGGCGCATGTCCCATCTCTCCACCTATTCAGTTTTTCTTTTTTGTCCTTCAGTAAATTGTTCTTCATGCACGTCTTGTGCATTTTGTTAGGTTTACTCTACTCTTATGTATGATTTTTGTTGATACAGTAAATGAAGTGTTTTTTATTTTTATTTTTTTACTCTAAGTTTTTAACTTCAGGCGAACATTCTAAAGTACCTTTATTTTAACTGTTAAATTTCTGAAATTGGGTTTTTTTTTTTTTTTACATTGAACATATTTATTGTAAAGGTTATTATTTTTTAAAAGAGTTGTTATAAAATCGATTTGCACTTTATAAGTGATGGGGTCTTAAATTCCAGAAAATACTGTATATGTCTATAGAGGCAAGATGCCACCTGGGAACTCTCATCCCTTGGAGAGCCAGGCATACCTTTCATGAAGTTCCAGTTCCAAAGTCTTCACCATGAGCTCAGCAAATTCGGGATCTCTGCAGACTCTGGCTCCTTCAGCTCTTCATGCAGCCTGAATATCACCCTCATTAGCCAAACCCAAAACTCAATTGGTGTTTTGTGGGAACATTTTATGTTTTAGGTTCCCACAAAGTATCAGTCACACCAAACGTTCTGTGAATTTAGGCTGAGGATGGGAGATCAAGGGAGGAGCTGGTTATGTCCAGGAGACCAGTGTCAGGCTCACTGTTTCTTGACCTCTGACCTTTCGCTTCCCCTCTTCCTTCAGTCCCCAAGAATAGCAGTTTGGAAGTCACCTTGAGGCCTCAATTCTAAGCCAAGTGGAGTATTATCTTCCAAAAATACTGAGTGCTTTTCCTGCAGGGAACTCGAATAAGTAAAATTTTCTCTGCTCCCTTTCATATCAATGAAAGCTATATACTTGAATTGTAAATGTATTGTAAATGGTTAATGCATATGGTTAGAAAAAATCTGGAAAAAATACATTAATGGATTTTATTTTATATCACATAGAACAAAGAACAAATAACTGAAGTATTTATTGCATAGAGTCCATTGAAACTCAAAGACCTTTTAAGTCCTTGGGGAACAAATTTTAAATAACATTATTACTGTAAGGCTTAGTATATCTGAATGTAAGCTTTTTTTTTTTTTTAATGGCATTGACCCTGAAATTTTAATCTTTAGAGAATTGGGTAGTAGGTGGTAAAGTGCTTGAAGACGAACCATAGGGATAAAACATAGTATTCAAGTCATTCTACCGTGCAGCATTTATATTTGTTTTAAGTACATCCGGCTTAGGACTGAATCTAAAATGAAAATTTTAAATCAGTTTGCTCTTGTTTCTTACTTTGAATCCACAGATAACACTGTTATATTTTCAGCACATGTGCTGTTCTCGTTAAATGGAGTAGAATACAAGTTGAAAACTAATAATTACAGCTTGTTTTAATCAGGAGCTAGAAGGGTGTGCCCCCTTCTGTCTTCATCCCAGTTATCTGGTGACACTATTCACTAACTCATATTGGGCATAAAATGTGGTCCCCTCTTCCCTGTTAAGAATGAGTACTATAGAGCTGTTAATACAGATATCATTAAGTGATTTTACAAAAAGTGGGGAAAAAAAAGAAAACAAAGAAAAGGAAGACATGTTGGGGCCTGATGTGTCATATAAATATTTTGTTTTGAGCTATGTGGTGATGTCATTGTGATGATACTTCTTCCCTTGCAGTTAACTCTCAGCCGCAAATCAGGGTATACCAGAAAGTGATGTGAAATGCAAAAGGCATGGGCTACACTGTAGTAATTCATTCATCCTGAACGAGAGACCCGCAGGGTCTGGAGATGGAACTGTGATGGCTCACTCTGCACAGTATGAATACAGAGTGGGTCTGGCCTGTTGTCATGCCTGTATTATGGCAAAGGTGTTGTGTATGGACAACACATTTGTTTTCCTCGTAGTGGAATTATGTGTTCCTCTCAGTGCTGTGGCTCTATTAGTTTTCATATGGGAAAGTGATGCTCGATGTCTTTGACAAAGACTTATTCAAAGGGATAACTGACCATAAAAACAAGTTTGTGCCTACAGAGCGAAACAAAGCAAGGATAGTATCCCTTAAAACTGACTGCTTTCATTTTCAGTGTAAATCAACCATACTGGCAAAACTTTGTTAATGTGTCCTCCTCCAAAATGAGTGATTCCTACAATGTTAGAATTGTCCCTCCTTAACATTGGATCTGCTATGGCCCAGCATGTGTTGGGTGTTGAAGGACAGGTTTGAGAATTTAGCATTTTCCCACACAACGAGGGAGAATAGCAACCACCGGACATCTCCAGAACCCCTGGATGCCTCACGATAGCACATATATGATCTGTGTTCTGTATGAGTTAGAGAGATATTTAGAGAAATGATAAAATTCATTAGGCCTATGGATCTTTGGAACTATTAGCAGATTCCTTCTTTTTCTTATCATAATACAGTATGAGTCCACAGATGAAAATTACCAAGTGTAGACCAAATGGAGTAGAATATAAATTGATAGCTTTAATAATTCTTTTACAGTTATTTTACCGCCCACTCCTTTTATTTTTAATGTTAATTTATTTTTGAGAGAGAGAGAAAGCATGAGCAGGGGAGGGGCAGAGAGAGAGGGGGCAGGGGATCCTCAGTGGGCTCTGTGCTGACAGCAGAGAGCACGATGTGGGGCTCGAAATCACAAACCGTGAGATGATGACCTGAGCCAAAGTCAACTGACCGAGCCACCCAGGTGCCCCGAAGTCAGCCCATTCCTAAAATAAAATCTTCCTGGGTGGGGGTGGTCATTAATGTTTTTGTTGTATGTCCAGTCCACATCTTTCACTTGTATCCTTATGCAGATTTATCCCTGACCATGTTTTAAACGTTAGTTTTAATTTTTTGACTGAGATCTGAGGCCATTAGCTGCTGATTTGCTGTTTTTATTTGTCTTATCAAATTAACTGTCTGCCCTCTTTATTTCTGTTAGCATTGTCAGATGAAATATCTGAAACAAAAACAGTTATTTAAAGGAAAGCTTTGTATCCTCTACTTACTAATCGTTTAAGAAGATTACCTGAAGTCTTTTTAAAAACTGGGCTGTTGATGATGTTGATTATGAAATATATTGGCCTTTCATAAAATTAACTGCTGCCTTTTGATTTATAGGATCTCCAAATGTGGGTAAATGGTGCTAATGAACATGGCTTTGTCCTGGTGTCTTTCGGAGCTGGTGTCAAGTATCTTTCAGAAGACATTGCTAACAAACTGGCTGGAGCTCTGGGGAGATTGCCCCAAAAAGTGATTTGGAGGTAAGGTAATAGCATCAATTGTTTCTTCACTGTGTATTTTTGTTATCCCCTTGCTTAACTTGCAGGGCCCTGTAAAGCTAGCACATTGGTTCCGCAGCAAGATTAGCAGGAGCTTCTCCTAACTTTTCATTTTTGTTTCTTAGTGTATTGAAATCTAGCGACTAATTTATAAGACTCTGTGATGGATAAAGAAAGAGACATCAAGCCTTGGAGCATAGAAAGAAAATATGATGCAAGGGCACCTGGGTGGCTCAGGGGGTTAAGTGTCCGACTCCATTTTGGCTCAGGTCACCATCTCACAGTTTGTGAGAGTGAGCCCCCCACTGGGCCCTGTGCTGACAGCATGGAGCCTGCTTGGAATTCTCTCTCCTCCCCATCTCTCTGCCCCTCTCTCTCTCTCTCTCTCTCAAAATAAAATTTAAAAACATTAAAAAATCTTCAAGAAAAAAAGAAAATATGATGCAGAATGATTTATCCTTGTGTCAGATGCATTTTTTATGTTAACCTAAGCTTTATACCCTTATTTACCCTAATATTAGTGTCATTTAAAAAGTTGTTTTAATTACATGCATTTCTATATACTTTCTACATACCTGCAAATCAGTGTTGGAATGAGGTAGAAAATGATAGATGAATGCATAAATAGGCAAAATATTTCATGGAACCTTTTGTCCTCTATAAATGCTTTTTATTTCTTTTACCCCCTCCCCCCCAAAAAATAGGCCTTAAAACCGCAATAACTTGCCAGTTAATGCTGGTTAAAACAGATCCTTAGATTACCCCACTTCCCAACAAGTGTCTGTGTCAGTCCACCATGTAAAAATCCGACGTGAACACTATTTACCATGTATTTATTTAGTACCTGCCAGTGCCGCTGGGCTCTGGGGATACAGCAGTGAACATCACCCCCCCAGGTCTCAAGCTGTTACAAGTAGGGCCTGAGTAATATGTCTTTTTCCTTTATAACAATGGTGTAAGGATTAGCTCCCACTTTTCCTGGCTGAGCTATGAAGTGGATACATATTTTATTCCAACTGTTTAGGACTTCGTCCTTTGGATGCCAGATCTATTGCATTTCCTCTAAGGGCTTAACCCAGAAAACACCCTTCTGCTTCAATTAGGACAGTTTGTGTCTGCTCAGTTCAGACTCGTGTCGTTCTCTCAGTTGTGAAGTATGTTCATGGTTTATCTTTCATAGATCAAGGCACTAAATGACTTAATTATAAACTCTGCCCCACGGAGTGCCTGTCACTGGGGCCAAGCTGGAAGAGAGTACTTTCTGGTTTCTTTCAATTCTCACACCTTCCCGTAGGCTCCACGTGTCAAAGATCGGAGCTATAGACTGCTTAGTGGTGGCCCTCCCAGCTTTTTCATGTTTCTCTTTCTGGGTTCTGCTGGAGAGTGACTTTCTAGCCCAGGTTTATTTACGTGCTTCTCACCTCCAGCCCCCATCTCTGTGATGGGGTGAGAAGAGCCGAAAGAAAATAGATCTCAGTATGAGAGTGTTTTTTATTTCTCTCACAATCAATGAAAATGTGAAAAAGAAACATAATTAAAATTTTGTTGTTAGTAAAGCCTGGTTTCCTTCTTAAGATAGCAATAAAAGATCATTTAACATTTATTTTAAATCTAATAATTTAAGCACAGAGTCCATACCAAGAGTAAAGTTCGGTTTTTGAAAGATTTATTGTCTGATGTACATTTTAGGTTTTCTGGAACCAAACCAAAGAATCTAGGAAACAACACTAAGCTCATAGAATGGTTACCACAAAATGACTTGCTTGGTAAGTCAGTGACACGTGGGTACTTACTTGGCATTTAGATTTTAACTGAGTAAATGTGATTTTTGTATTTGAGCAGTTTATACAATATGTGTGTAGTTTATGGTAGAGTCACTAGATTGCCTAGTATCTCATGTTAGATTTCAAACCAACAAGTCAGATCTTTCTTTGTTGGAAAATGATTTGTAAAATATAATCATTTTATGTCTGTAAATTAAGGTTTTTAGACCAGTCAGCAATTTTAATTTTCTGGAAAATATGCTTAATAAGGTATATAAACCAGCAGTGGATAAAGTTATACCTGATTAGACTAATCAGCTAAAGGTAATAAAATTAAAACAGTGAAAATGTAGATTTGTGTTATAATTGTATTACAGATGTATCTGACTAACCTGAGAAATTCAGAGTTACTCATATGTTTGAAACTAAAAAGAAGGTCAAGAAAACATTTAATTTATCTTATCTTTATTTGTTTCATCTGTTCATTTCCCCTTAAGTCATCAGACATTTTTGAAACACACATTTATTTATTTATTTATTTATTTATTTATTTATTTGAATTCTGATCCTTAACTAAAAATTAAAATAACAGTTATATGAATTTATTTTAAGATATTTGATCGAAGAAATTTAACTCATTTTGTTGTGTTCAATAAGCATTGATAGTAAAACCATAAAGTAATTTCATTAATTTCTAGCAAAACATGATGCTGTATTAACCTTTGAGATATTAAGGAAATTATAAAAATATTATTGATATGGCAATATTGACATCATTTGTTCAACAATACTAAAATCTAACAGCTATATAAGGTGCTTTAAATTTTAAATTACATTATTAAAAATTGGCTTTGAAAAGTATTTTTTAGAAGCTAAAATGGCCATCCTAAAAACCAGCAAATTGAATTTTGCAACTAAAAAACAGTGAGGAATTTTCTTTATATAATTCCTTTTCATCTAGTTCTTCATATATGTTATTCTATAAATGACAAAATTGAATAAGAAACAGGGCAATTTACCTTCTTAATATTTGTATTTTTTTTTTATGTCTTTACTATTATGACTTCAGATTCCATGGAAGGTAGGAAGAAGCAGAGAATTTAAATAAGATAACCTGGACTATCAGCTGTTTCAGTGCAACAGTGTGATGCTGCTCTCTGGGAACATTGAAACTATTAGCATGGTTTTCTTCTGAGAGCCTCTACGGCAAGGTGTAGCTACTCAGTGGTGCACACCCAATGGCCCTCCTTAGGTTCAGAGCTCTTCTGTGTTCCTCAGAACCTCAGTTCTCTGCCTTTACCAAGATCAGTGTCCTTTTTTATCATTAGGCATGACTTTATGAGTCCACTGTTGGCTTCTAACACTGATCAGAAGATTCCTCCAGGATGAGAAGTAGGAACCCAACCATTATCTTTCCCCTTTCTTCCTTCCATAATATCCCTTGCCCTCCACACACCAGCACTGCCTTATTTTTCACTGTTGGGCTTGGTGGTAAGGTTTTGTTCAGAGAAAAGGTTTTGCTGCAAAAAAAAAAAAAAAGGTTTGAAATGCACTGAGAAAGCAGATCCATTAGGTGGGCTGAGTTGAGAAGCCACTTGTAGGCAAAGGTGACACTGAGTAATTCTAATAGACATGGAGTGGGAGAGTCCCTGCACCCTACTGAGACCAAGGTTCTACATACCATTTTATACCTGGTGTGTGTATATATAAAAGACTTCTATTTCTGCAAGCTGTAATTCCTTTCTGGCCATAGCATACATTTCCTAAGTGCAATGTTTCCTTGTCCTACACTTATACAGGGTTTTCAGTTTCAGTACCTTTTATGAAATATTGGCCGCTCACGAGGGGATCTGTGTTTTGAAATACCTCATTAATTTTGATAAATTGTCTTCTTTTATCCCCTTGACAACTCGATGTTACATGATGTTCCATCTCTTACAACTAATTTTTATGTGTCAGTCCCTACTTGTTTATATACCTAAACTGTGAAATTGGACCCTAAAATTGTGAAGCCAGAAGCTGACATGACTTGAATGTTGTAAATACTTTGTACCATACAGTGTTCCTCCTTGGATAAGCACATAAACTCTTCCTGAACTTTAAGAATCTAGCCCCACATTTTAACATATTTTTTTTGTTTTCTTACAAAATGTGTTTTACTTTAAGATAAATGCCTGGGGATCCAGAAGTGGATGTCTGTTTGTAACAGAATGTGGTTGCACCCTGGTATTTTTGGCATTTCTTGCTTTTGTTGACTTCCTATTTAGTATTGGCCTTTTAAATAGATGTTGCTAGCCAGTTGATATTTATGTTTGAGGGAAAGTTGTAATATGCTCTAAAAAGCTATAGATTTTAAATTTATAAATTTAAAAATGACTCTTAATTGATATCTACAAATCAATTCACTATTTATATAACAAGTGTTTTAATTGATATAGGGCAGGAATCAGTGAAATTATGCCTTTAAAAATTCTGTATCTAAAATATATATTTAGTATAGTGTTGACTTTTAAGAGATTTCTGGAAAATCTCTTTTTTAGAGTAATATACAATACCCTAAGTTGTTTTCTTTTTTAATCCTTCTTTAGGGCATTCCAATATTAAAGCCTTCCTGAGCCATGGTGGTTTGAATAGTATTTTTGAAACTATGTATCATGGTGTACCTGTAGTGGGAATCCCACTCTTTGGAGACCACTATGATACTATGACCCGGGTCCAGGCAAAAGGCATGGGGATATTGCTAGAATGGAAGACAGTTACTGAAGGAGAGCTATATGAAGCACTGGTGAAAGTTATCAATAATCCCAGGTGAGTTTACAATGAACATGAAAGCAGATGAAATATATATACCATAGCGTATTGTCAATAACCAAGTATTGCCAAGAAGTTGTCAATAAACCAATTATAGGAATATCTTTTACATTCCTGTGTCTAAATCCTTGTGCATGTTTTCTATAATTTTAAAAATAAAAATGGCAAGTATATATATAGATATATATATATAGCCAGCCATGTATGACCTTGAATAATATTCTGCCAGGATTTGCCAAATTGAGGGAGAAATTACAGTGGGAACAATCATCAGGTCCCTAAAATGTGTCAAATTTTATTTGTTCTTTGTCTCATTTTAATACTCGTCATATCTGCGTATCACTATTTTCACTATTCACATTGTAAAGATGAGGCACTTGAAACTCAGAGGGCTTAAGTAATTTGTGCATAGTTGCACTAAGCTATTAGAGTAGATATTTGAACCAGGAATGTCTGATTCCAAAGCTGGTGCTCTTTGTATTGACTGATGCTAGGTTTCCCTAGGACTCAGTATCACTGAAACACAGAGATTTGTTTACATAGTTGCAGAACTAGTCTGAATCTTTAGCTTTTTTAATTTTTATTTCTTGAATGTCCCCAGTTAACCACTGAGTTTCAAATAGTCTTAGAGAGCTGGCCTGTGTAGTTTTAAATTTTTTTTTTTTTTTCAAAGTTTATTTATTTTTGGGACAGAGAGAGACAGAGCATGAACGGGGGAGGGGCAGAGAGAGAGGGAGACACAGAATCGGAAATAGGCTCCAGGCTCTGAGCCATCAGCCCAGAGCCCGACGCGGGGCTCGAACTCACGGACCGCGAGATCGTGACCTGGCTGAAGTCGGACGCTTAACCGACTGCGCCACCCAGGCGCCCCTGGCCTGTGTAGTTTTAAAACAAAGCAGTAGTTTTCCCTATTTTTTCATGACATTTAATTGATCTTGCATTTCAAATGGCAGTAATATTTGGAGGACAATAAGCTTTTTCTATTTTTACCTGGGGCATATGGCTTAACACTTGGATTGGGAAACATTGAGATGTTCTAAGAAACAACCAATAATAGGAAAAATTCTCTCATTTAAAATGATGCAGCTTTCATATAAAAGGCTGGGTTCAAGTGCACCGAGGTTCATTGTGCTGTCTTACATGGGCTCAGAGGCAGCCATCATGCTCTGACCTCTTAAAGGATCCAGTGTCTTGGTCGCAACTCTGGCATTTGGAGCAATATGTTCTCTAAGACGTGGGGTGCTTGAGTATGGGGATCCCTTTGTGTTTTATAGCTCTTCTTTTAAAGTAGAGTGTTTTTCAAGTCATGATGTTTTTATGGAAAATGATATATGTCTTTCAGGACTTTTTAGAAAGGTTTGTAGAATGCAGCCCTAAAGCAGAGTTTATGGGGGGATAGTTACAGAGCTACTGAGATTGGATTTGTTCCACAGAGAAAAAGCAAAAGGCTGGATTATCCACATACCGTCATTCTGTCAGTGTTCTTTGAGATATAAACAGGGCGACACTATAGTCGTAGATCACATTGCAATGAAATCCCAGTTATGCAATCTTCATGTATCCATAAGTACTCTGATTTCAGAATATTGACTATTTTAGAGAGTATTTTCATTATACATATATACATACATGCATATATATGTACTGCATGTAATGTTATATATGGCTTCATGGTGTTGTTTTTCAACTTCTTGTCCTCTGTTTAATAAGTATAATATTCTCACACCATCCCTTAATCTTATTTTAAATCAGAGGCAGAATTAAATTTTATTGCTAAAAAAAAAAAGGTATTGAGACAAAGTGCTGCATTTTTCTTCATCTGTCCCTTTTAGAATCTAATAAATGCACTCCTCTTCCTGGTTGAGATTCATTGGTTAATAGAATTTAAAAGCATATGGAGAGAAGAAGTATATGTGGGCAAGAGGTGTGGCATAGTATAAAAAAGAGCTGGGGTTCAGAGACAGAAAAACTGGAATCTGAATCTCAACTTTATAATCATAATCAGGTTGCCTAGTCTGTCTAATTTTCATTTCCCTCTTTCAAATTTATTTTATTGCCTTAACATAAGACAATGTGTTTAAAGCATTTACCACAGTGCTTGGCACATATTAGGTACTTAATAAAGAAAAGTGGCTTTTATTATTTTCCTCATTTTAGAGTGAGAAAGTCTAAAATATATTGAACCTTGTATCTCCATGATCATTCTGTGTTCTCCCTCCACTCCGTAGCTACCGTCAGAGGGCCCAGAAGCTTTCAGAAATCCACAAGGATCAACCTGGTCACCCTGTCAATCGGACTGTCTATTGGATAGATTACATTCTTCGTCACAATGGAGCCCATCACCTACGTGCCGCTGTCCATCAAATCTCTTTCTGTCAGTATTTTTTACTGGATATTGCCTTTGTGCTTTTGCTTGGTGCTGCCTTGTTCTATTTCTTCTTGTCCTGGGTGACAAAATTTATTTACAGAAAAATCAAAAGTTTGTGGTCTAGAAATAAGCATAGCACAGTTAATGGACATTACCATAATGGAATCCTCAATGGCAAGTACAAAAGAAATGGCCATATTAAACATGAAAAGAAGGTGAAATGAGCCAACAGCCCACATGATAGTAACCAACCTGTTCAGTCACTGGATTTTTACTGCTATAATTTAGTCTAACAACTACTAAAAGTAAAATGTAAGTAAACAATTCTAACACTCCCTTATTGGATCTTACTAACAGAATTCTGTGGAATTAAGATGGCTGTAAAAAGCACAAACCTAAAATGCAAAAATGTATTTTATTTGAATACTGATATAGAGAGTTTGGGCACTGAACCTTTTAGAAGCCTTAATTATTTAAATCAATTAAGTGACCATGTCAGACCTTAGTTTTGAATCTTGATATGTGTGTGTCCCAGAAGAGGAGTGGTTTCTTTTCTCTTAAAAAGATTTGTTTGTGTGCATGTGTGTATGGGTGTATGTTTCCTAATTAAGGGAATTTTTAGCTGGCTGCTTGATATATTTGTTGAAGGTACAACACATTCAAGAATGAAATAGAAAGACAGGATCCAAATGTTTCTTTTCTAGAATTTAATATATGTGAACTCAGAACACTACCATGAAAGAACACTTTTCCCTCAAAACTGAATGCAGTAGGAGAAAATGAAAAGATAAATGGCACCTTTTTTGTACTTCTTGGTTCGTTTGTTTGTGATAGTTTTTTTGTTTTGTTTTGCTTTTTATTTTTGTTTTCCTTTTCTTACAGACCGTGGGCACTTCTGGGGGAAAAATACATGCAATTAAGTACATGTATAAATTGGTTGTCCCATTTTACTTTTATTTTCCCCTTACCAATAATTTGTCTCTAGAAGAATTTTATAGTCCTTTCTATTTCATTTTGGTGAATAACATTATGTGAAATGCATAATTCAGACAAAGCAACAAAGCTCTGACTTTTGTTCAAAGTACTGAAGATTATTGCTTTTATGGCATCTTTAAACAGGGCTGTTTGACTGTTTTTGTAACCGATGGCTTTTTTTATAATGTAACTTTTGAATGTTCAGGTGTTAAGATTTCCAAAGTTTTAACTTTAAAAAACGATCTTCTTCATCCCTTTTGTTGTCTGGGCCACACAATCTATATTTAACATAGGTGCCAACAGTTAATTAAGTGGAGCATTTACAGTTCTCTATACTGGTACCTACTTTGTCTGAGAAGTTTGAGATCTCGTTAACAAATCAAACTTTACATATTACGCAGAAGTGACAGAGAAATTGTATCACTTGTTTATGAAAATGAGTTTCTGTTTCCCTCTTCACTTCTTCACCACCCCACCTCACCCCACCTCAGTAGTGTTTTCCAGTCATTGTGGCTGACATGGAACAGTGACAGTATTCATTTGAGGATAGGGATGCAAGTCACACGCATAAAATCAGGACCTCCTGGCTGACCATTCACTAGTTGGCAACTATGAGTTTATTCCATGTCATTCTGTTTACCTAGCATTTGCACTACACATGTTGAGTGTATGCTTTATTTATTCGTAGCTTGAAATCCCATGGCTGACAGCTGAGAGTAGAAATATACATTTACCTAATGACATTCACTAACATGGGAAGAGTTGTGAAAATTCTAGAATGCTGTAAATCCTTGTCATACACTATGACATACAACTTCATTGCACTCCCACCAGGAGCCACTCTCCTGTACTTAGAAATAATGTCACAAGTAGTTTTCTAATGTACAATGCAGACAAACGTACTGCTCTCTGAATACTTGAAGAAATGGTATTATACATATAAGCCTATTAGTTATACCTTTTCACAATCTTATCATTATGTTGCCGTTAAAAGGGAAAAAAGGCACAGGCGATGAATGGTGGGATGGCAACAGGCTTAGAGTGTATGAATGAGTTGATTTTACTTTTTTGGAATTGGATGAAGTTGACAGTAGGCACTCACTGGATGATTAAGCATAAATTAATCTCCACTGTGATAAAAACTTAATAAACATGATTTAAAAATAGAGAAATGTTGTTGGAATAAAATTTTTATTCAGATTTTATTTCACAATATTATGTATATCCATTATAAACATGTTTCTAAGACATGTCTCCCAACTTTTATATGTGTATATGCGTGTAAAAAACAGTATGTTACCTGTGGGAATATTTTTATTATTATTAAACAGAGGGATTTACCTTATAAGTACATCAACATGGATCTTAAAATTATCCCAGAATTAAAAATGTTAAGTGTAGGTATTTACTGATCACTGTTGTTGGTTTTTTGTTTTTTGTTTTTTTTTTCTAGAAAGCGTATTGTTAGCCAGTTTTTGGTAAATAGAGTGATTTTAAATTTTCCACATTTGGGCTAGATTCTCTAATAAAGTAAAGTTTTCAAGAAGGTATTTATTCATTTGTTATTTAAAAAGAGCCTCTGCAAATATTTTCATAGCTTGTCATCATCATATCAAATGCAAATGAGACATTGATCCATTTTTCCTCCAGAGCCATAACTTTTAATATCCCTCCACATAGACATAGGGGCAGAATTTGGGTGCCCAGGATTGGAGGGAGCTAATGTTTGGGTGAAAGCAATGGTTTAGGATTGAAGGTGAAGCAAGCTAGAGATTCTTTCCTGGGAATATAGAAACCTTGTGTTACAATATGAGGACCTAGGCTGAGACTCCCAAGTACTGCATAGATCATTTTCTGGTAAGGTCTTGTCTGGTGTTTATCAGCTTGAGCTTGTTGGTACTGTCCTCAAAGAATCACCTCTGAATGTTATACAACCGCACGTTCACCCCCAACCCCTAGATTTTGATATACAGCACCCCTCTCCGACTGAGCTGGAATCCACCACACTGGGTCCTCAGATGACTGTCCTTCAAAAAAAACCTACTCTGTGATCTGAGATCTATCCCTGCCCTCCTCCTTCCCTGCTAAGTGGTGGTGAGACACTACAGAGTCAAGATGTAGCATTCTGGGTTTTTTCCCCCACACATTTCCTGCTTCTGCCAAGACTACAAGAATGTTTGTGCTTGAATGGTCTGATAGATTCTGATAACCTGCCTCAGAGTCTTGTTTCCAGCTTTGCACTATAATTGGGCATATTAGACATTGTAATTAGATACTATGGAGCATAAAACATGCACTGAAATTAAAAGGAAAGAAGTTCACTTTATTGTGAAAACATTTTACGGGCTATTAATATTTATAAATGGTAAGTATCTTCTCTGAAATACACAACTGTAGTGAATTAAAGAATATATATTTATTCACTAGAAATTAGGAACTGCCATGACCGAATGGCATTCATTCAACATTCGATGGGTGCCCATCACACCCCAGACAATATACCAGATACCAGGGGAATTTACAGATGAGAAGGTCAGTCTCTCTTTCAAGATGCTCATGATCTAGTGGGAGAGATGGACACATAAGTAATTATAATGTAAAGTGCTGAGAGCTATAGCAAGTGTATATGCAGGGTACTGTGGCAGCACTGAGTTCAAGGTGACATTGAACTGCATGCTCACTACTAGTTTTGGGGTTGTTTGTAATCAACTCCCATGGCATTAATTGCTTAATCCAGAACACCCTCATAAATTTTTTTGGCAGATAGTTGTATATTGAACTCAAGTTCTGATTGTCTGAGGGTCCTAACTTTGAAGGTTAACTCCATCATTTACTAATCTTTAACTTTGACATTTCTTATTGTGTAATGATAATTACCTCATGGGCTTATCATGAATACACACTCACACACACACACTCACTCTGTAATGGCCACTATACTAAATGTTTTAAACACATTGTGTGTAGGTATGTGTATGTGTTTAAAACATTTAGCATAGGGGCTCCTAGGTGGCTCAGTCAGTTAAACGTCCCACTCTTGGTTTTGGCTCAGGTCTTAATCTTGGGGTTTCTGGGTTCAGGCCCCACATCAGATTCTGCGCCAACAGTGCGGAGCCTGCTTGGGATTCTCTCCTCTCTCTCTCTCTCTCTCTCTCTGCTCCTTCCCCAGCTTGCTTTCTCTCTCAAAAATAAATAAATAAACTTAAAAATAAAATAAAACATTTAGCATAATGGCCAGTGTAAAATGAGCGCTCGAATCGGTGGTTGTTTGTCCTGGACACTTGAATAGACTAACCTCTGTCACAGTAGTGTGCTTTCAGTTTTTGAGAGTTGTTTGAAAAAACATGTTTCATTCATTCATTCACCAACCATTTACTGAGTCTTCATTCATCCAGTGGTGCCCTAGATGGTCACAGTTGTCCTGTCTTCTCTCTGCATAGCCCAACTCCTCACCAAATCCCCAAATCCTGCTAAGATTGAAGGGACGCACCGTGAAAAAAAAATTTTTTTTTTTTTAGTTTAAAAATGAGAGAAACAAAACAAGGTGACAAAAGTATTTCAAATACAATTCAGTCATCTGTTTTATTGAAAGTATAATCCATTCATTTTCACTTTTGCTTCTAAGTAATTCAGCTGGTTTGTAAATATAAAATCACATTAGAAAATGCTTATTTATAACTGGTTTAATCCAAAACTTTGCAATAGAAAAATTTCAAATTTATATAACAAAGTTTAAGAATTATATGAATTCTATCAGTGAAAATTCCCAAAATATGCATTAAGGAGCTTTTATCCTCCTTATTTCTGAAAGGATAAGCTTTTTAGCCAGTGTTTAAAAAATACATGTTTCATGCAAAAATGTCAGTGAAATTTGTAGATGTCAGCAAAACCATTTTTCTAATGAATTTCATTTATAAATGCCTCAGAAATCCATGTAATTAAAATACTCAGATTGTCATTTTTCTACAAATTCTGCAAAATGTTTCAAGCTCCCTTACACTTGGGTGTTTGAGTTGTTAAGGTGGGGCCAGGGGAAGGATGGCGTGGATGCTCTTATTTTTCAAAATATAGAAACTAAAAGGCATACAATATAATTATATTATGGAAATTTTTTACTTTTGGGTAAATAAGATATAATTTAAGAGTGAATTCATATAGTCCACAGGATTACTGATACTATGCTTAGTTTATGTAATAAAACCAGCAGAGTTTTTTCAACAGAGCAATATGTATTCCAAGTTGACTGAAA